TACCCATTAATTTTTGCTTTAACTCCATTTCTAATTCTTTTTCACCCCCCCCCCCCCCCCCCCCCCCCGCAGCCACGCTACTAGCATTGATGTGTTGCATAACTGTGGGGAGACAGCTGCCGAGACCCAGCTGGCTCCTCGGATGCATTCAGTCCTCGTGTCTTTGAGGGCAAACCTAGCAGTTTGTAGACTGAAGCACATGCAGACACGAGTGTTAATTGACAGGTATTATTTTTATCTGGGAGATAAATTTAGCTTCTGTTTGTAAGATTTATTTTTAACCCTGGCGCATCTAAAACAAAGCACCGCAGGTTGCTTTAGAACTGGCTGTTTATCTATTAAGATGACACTGTTCTGTGATGCGACACTGACTTCCTGTCTTCCTCTGCAGTGATGTACCAACAATGCCGATAGTGGATAAACTCAAAGAGGCGCTAAAACCTGGCCGGAAGGACACGGGTGATGAGGGTGACCTCAACAAGCTACTGGCGTCTTCGGCTAAAAAGGTCCTTTTGCAGAAAATAGAGTTTGAGCCTGCCAGCAAGGGTTTCTCCTATCAGCTGGACAGCCTGAAGAACAAGTATGTTATCCTCAATCCCAGATCAGAGGGGGCTATAGGGCAGAGGGCGACAGAGCCTGCTCTTATAAAGAGGCAAGGTGAGGAGGATTTTTTTTATTTTTTACTTTATATTCTCTGTTTTTTTTGTTTTTTTAATTAGCTATAGAAGCTCAGTTTTTTGCTTTCCTTCTCTCTCAGCCTCCGAGAATGTGGTTGGGAGTCAGGGCGATGGGATCCCAGCCCCGCAGAAGATGCTTTTTCCAGGGAACAAGCTTGCACTCAAATGGGAGCGTGTGTACAGGGTGGGGGCTGGCCTTCACAACCTGGGAAACACCTGCTTCCTCAACTCCACCATTCAGTGTCTCACCTACACCCCACCACTGGCCAACTACTTGCTGTCAAAGGAGCACAGTCGTGCCTGTGAGTCCTCTACTCTTTCACATTATCTTCTTTTTGTCGAACACTGTGCACATCATAGCGCATAAACTGCCATGTGTAGTATTACTGCAAACCAGAACAGCTGAGGGAAAACTAAAAGAGTAGTTGGGCAGTAAATTATATTTAAATCTGGATTTTTTTTATATTTTTTTTGTATTTCATCTTATTTTGGTATTTTGTTGTCATCAACCTGATTTAGATTTGTTCTAAATTCAGTAGGAATGAGTTACATCAAAGATAAATGGTCACTTTTTGCTCTACAGAAATGTTATTTTGTCATTAGAATATTTGCATTTTAATTTGATTCGTTGAAACCTCACTAACTGCGATGTCTGGGATTTCATCAAATTACTCAAATCAAAAAATGATAATGGTCAGTGCAGTTTTGTTCAAAAGTCGCATCTTAAAAGTTAACACCTTAAAAATAGAACCATTTTGAAATAGCTGCTTTAAATATTAAAATAAAGGTAGGAAAAGGTCTTTAGAGCAGTGTTCTTACTCGTCAGGTTATATTTATTTCTATCTTAAACTACTGGCCATGAAGAAGTACTTTTCTGCTTAACTTCTTTAAGTTACAGCCGTGATAAAAACTGGTATTCTTAAAAAAAACAGGAAATTGTAAATTTCATAGTGTATTTAGATTTTCTTTCATTATTGTTCAAAATCTCCAGTGCTAGTTATATAATATGGTGTATACAAATAGAAGGAAACGCATGGTAAGGGTACCGTCGACCTTTTTGTCGTTTGATTTCACAATTGCAAACTGTCAGTCTTGAGTGAAATCAGATGTTTTATCTTAGCAGCATGATTGTGCAATAGATTTCCAAAATAAAGAAATTTTAATTGGAGCTAATTATTTATTCATCTCTGTTGTGAGTCTTGGTCAAAACTGTGTTCACATATTTTAGACTAAATCATCCTCAAAATAAAAAAAAAAGATGTACATTTTTTTTATTATTATTTTTATAATCATTACATTTAATGTTTAATTCTTCTAAATGCACACAAGTAAACCTGATAAAAAATAGCAGTCACGCACTTTTGTTTTCTATGCTTCACTTAATCTACTTGTTTGTGTTTCAGGTCACCAGTCAGGCTTTTGTATGATCTGTGTGATGCAGAACCATATCATCCAAGCCTTTGCTAACACAAGCAATGCCATTAAGCCTGTGTCCTTCATCAGAGACCTAAAAAGTAAGACCAGCTTCTTTTAAACATTGCACAAGTCTGACTGAGCTGTTCAGGTCATTGGTTTTAATGCTGGTTGTGTCTGGAGTCGGCTTCACCAGACTTGGTTGAATTTGGCTCATCTCTGTGTCCCACGTGACGACAACCGTTAAACTGCAGCACATAAGTAGAGCAGTCTCGAAAACCTCCCTCCACGTCTTTCTGCTGCTTTCTTATTTGCTGCAGCAGTCGTGCCTCTACCTTTCCCCGTCTTCGCCCGTCATCTCCTCACTCCCTCCTTCCCTGATGCCCTTCTGTCTCCTTGCAGCTGCAGGCTTAAAGGAGCAGCTGTAGCATATAAATCCGCAAACTACCTGCTTTTCTTCTATCAAGGCTAAAAAATAATGCTCCTTTCACTGATGCTTAGCTGGTGCCTTCATTACATTTGGAAAATTTAAAGATGGAAATGTGCATTTTGATCTGCGCCACACAACAGATGAGAATTGTTTTTCATGAAGTGCTCTCCCTTTAATAAGTGCCTGGAATTGATCACAAATGCTGGGTGTTTTGTTTCTGTTTCCCACTCTAGCATGACTTATCCACGATGAGTAATTCTTTTTGTGCTGGGAATGTGGTGATGACCACATCAGAAATCTGCCCGGCTTCAACTCTCCAGTTTTCCATTAGGAAGTCACAGAGGGACAAAGATCTTCCAGCTACATTAGCTCTGATGCAGGACTTTCACTGTGGAGGAGAGGCCAGTCAGCTGAAGTTACTGATGAAAAGCTTTTTAGGTCGTTGTAGCTGCTTCTCTAAGAATGATGGGATCATAAAGCTGGCTTTAAGTGCCCATTAAAGCACCTCAACTAAACCTCGCAGCTTATTAACTGACCTTACTTTTACTTTGTCAATGCCGCCGTGTGACTAAATTATTAAAGTTGTCTACAAATTGAAAAATGTGTCTTTTACTGATTTAAAAAAAAAAAAAATTTTTAAGATGTTTTGCAGAAATAGGAATATTTTAAACTTTTATATTTCGGGATTATCAGTTGTTTCAGTATACATGTTTTGTAAATTTCAGTTTTATTTTCAAAATCGATAATAACTTTTATATCCCAATGTGGTGTAGCTTAAGTGTGAATAAGTAACTTAAGAGAACATAAATGCTCGTGCACGTTGGTTGAAAACATTAAGTTGACATGGATCATTTGTTTCCCACAGAAATTGCTCGCCATTTTCGCTTTGGAAGCCAAGAGGACGCTCACGAGTTTTTACGGTACACCATCGACGCCATGCAGAAAGCCTGTCTCAACGGCTACCCCAAGTAAGACTTTGAGCTCGCTAAAAATTGTTCTTGGACCTACTGAAGGGTTTACAACTTGTTTTCATGCTGTTTTTTTAGGCTGGATAGGCAGACGCAGGCCACAACACTGGTCCACCAGATCTTTGGAGGTTACCTCAGGTCACGGGGTATTGACTTTTTTCACAAATGCAAATGTTAGCTTTTAGAGCTTTTCAAATGTAAAAGAAAATGTTTTATTACTTTATCGTTGAGCATCTTTTTATGCATATGTTGTAAATAATGTCATGATCTAATGTTATATTGTATACCAATAGTTGTGTACCAATAATGTCATCCATGCATGTCATCTTCCTGTTTTTAGTATTTTACACTGCTTACTAATATAGCTGTTTTTGCTGCTTTTGTTTAATTTTTTTTTATTTAATTTCTTCTATTTACTTTTCATTTTATATGCTTTTGTAGATGGCTGTCTGTTATTGTTTGTACCTCTTGTGTTCTTTGTTAACGAGTCCTCGTGGCTCAATGAGACTAACCTGTATAAATAAAGCTTTAATGGATATCAGTGTAGCAATAAGTCAGTCTCAACAAAAATGATTGATCGGGTCCAGTTTTCATCTGTACATCATAACAATGTACTCTAATTGTTATCTCTGATTATTTGATGTGTCCACTTTTATTAGCTTTGCAGCTCAGAATGGTTTTCTTGCTTTCATGTTAAATATTTTTGCATGTTTTATCAGCTTGTAAATATCTTTGCCCTGTTTTTTAACATGTTATAGTAGTCAGATCTGAAGTTAAACCGTTAAATAGTAAAGAATTTTCTTTAAAAAGGCAGTTCTTTGATTGCACGGCTTTAATTTATCTTGACTCATCCAGTCTGATTGTTTTTGTCTTTTCAGTGAAATGTTCGGTTTGCAAAAGTGTTTCAGACACATATGACCCCTATCTGGACATCGCTGTTGAGATCCGGGTACGTTGCACATCCTAGTATGACCTTTAGCGAACGTATTGTAAAGAAATTATTTAAAAAAACTTATTTTCGAAACTTCATCTCATTTTTTAACGTTCGTCTTTCAGCAAGCTGCAAACATCGTGCGAGCCCTGGAGCTGTTTGTTAAACCAGACGTTTTGAGCGGAGAGAACGCCTACATGTGCGCAAAGTGAGTTTTCTTTTATATCGTCTGAGAGCAGGAAAATGTGCAGGACGTGAGGAGTTTCAGTAACGAATGATGTGAATCCTTGCTGTTCAGGTGCAAAAAGAAAGTGCCGGCCACCAAGCGCTTCACGGTCCATCGAACGTCTAACGTGCTGACGCTTTCACTCAAAAGGTTTGCCAACTTTAGTGGAGGAAAAATAACCAAGGTTAGAGTCTTATTTTATACTGTTAATAGTTTTGCTGCAGCTGTCCTCGTTGTAGACATTTATAATGTTTTCTGCTGTGTATGTTTTAAATAGGACGTTGGTTACCCAGAGTTTCTGAACATCCGCCCCTACATGTCCCAGAGCTCAGGTGATCCTGTTATGTATGGTCTTTATGCTGTCCTGGTGCACTCTGGTTACAGCTGTCATGCTGGCCACTACTACTGCTACATCAAGGTAGGCCAACAGCGTATCTGTGTGTCTTTTTTTTTTTTTTTAAACGTCAAGCTAAGAGATGCAGAAATGTTACACTTTTATCAGTCTATGGGTTCTGTTGACTTTAAAACGTCCAAGTTGATGCTTTTAGGAGCATGTTTGTATTTGTAGTTTGCATATTGAGCAAACATTTTTTCCTTTCGTTTCATGTAGGCGAGCAATGGTCAGTGGTACCAAATGAACGACTCAATGGTGCACTCGAGCAACATCAAAGTGGTTTTGAACCAGCAGGCCTACGTTCTTTTCTACCTGAGGTAAGACGATCCAAACATATGTCTGTACCTCCCGGATGAATCGTCAACTAAAATGGAGCATCACTGTGCACTGAAGGATACCTGAAACAAAGAAGAATGCAGATGGACAGGCCACCAAGCAGGGAATGTTGCATTCTGGGAAAAATGGTGCATCGTCAGAGCAAATTAAAAGGGCCAACCTGAATGGGCCTCTTTCCTCCCCACAAGTCACAAAGGTATCAGATGATCAGGTTATTTTTAAGCAATTTTGTTTTTAATTTTGTGTTTTTAAACATTCGGTTTGAATAATTTGTTCAACAGAAACTTGAGCCTGCTCAGCTGCGTAAGATCCAGTCTATGGACGGTGGTTTGGGTTTGCCCATTTCCAGGAATGGTGTGAACTCCCAGTCCCAGCCCAGATTCTCCAACTGGACGTCATCCTCCAACGGTCAACCAAAGCTGCAGAATGGACCCACTGTTATTGAGGAACCTTTCAAAAAGGTTAAAAAGCCCACTCAGCAGAGCCAGGCGCAGTCCCGCAGTACCACCCCCACTCCTTCCAACAACGGGTTCACCAGGACGGAGGGGGATAAAAAACAAGGTGGTGAGGGAAGAGGCATGGCAGCATCTACCTCCTTTAAGTCTTTGTCTGACTCTTCCTCTGCTGACACCACTGACTCAAAGGTAACACAAGAAATCTGACTCAAAGGTGGGACCGCATTGAGAAAGCAAGTTTAATGAATTTATATTTCCCAGGAGTCGGTTGGTCCCAAAAGTGAACCGGCGAGAGGGACCCCCTCCACTCCTCGGAAAGGCTCCAGCAGCTTGGCGTCTCCAGCGAGGAGCGTGGAGCGCTCTCCGAGCACAGAGGAGCAAAAGACGGCAAAAATCAAACCCCCGGCCCTCAACAACATCGCATCTGAAGCCACCAGCACCATGTCACCCCCACCTGCCAAGAAACTGGCGCTGTCAGCCAAGAAGGTAACGTGTTTATTTATTTTTCTCTTTTCTAACCACGGTAGCTTTATAGTTTAAGCTTGGTTTACAATTTTATTGTTGACTTAAGGGAGATATTTTATAAAAGCAAATAAACTTCTATTAGATTTCTGCTTTTTTATGTAGTTTCTGTTCTGAATTATATCTCCTGTGTACCTGTCTAATCAGTCACGTTAGCTTTTCTCTTCTTTTTCTTTAGTTCCCCTTTTTTTCTAACCATTTCTAATTCTTCTCTGCCACGCCCCTTCTCCTTTGTTTTCCTCCCTCCATCTTCTCCTGCCATTCCTTCAAACGGCCCCCTTCCTATATGATTTTCTTCCTGATTTTTGTCACATTCATGGCTATTTTCTTTAGACCACAAAGTTTTTATTTATGTCGATAACTGCAGGCTTACAGTCGGACTCTGAGCAACATTGATGTTCTGCCTCATTTGCCAAACCAGCTCTCCTCTGACCATTTGCATCCAAATCAACTTAACTTCCTCGCCAATGCCTCATCCACTCACAGGTACGAAAAGTGAATTAGATTGAGCTTGGATAAAACTGCAGTTGAGATATTTAAAAAAACTTTTTCTTGTTTTTACAGAGTCGGTTCGTTCCATTCATCTAAAGCCCTGTCGTCACCTCGTACCCACTCATGTGAATCCGCGCAGAAGAGCCCTCACAAACGGTCCCCTCTCACCACATCGCAAAAACCAAATGCCAACCTTTCCCATCAAACCAACGGGTTTCACAGTTCAGGCTCAAAGAGCCCCAAGTCTTCCAACAATCTAAGCTCTGTGGCTGAAGACCCAAACACTGACCCGCCGTCTCAAAACGCCAACCAAAAGAAGAAGAAGAAGAAACGACGGCATTCTGAGATGGAAGGTGACGCAGAGACTTTTACGTCCCAACTTGCGCTCACACAGTCCAGCCCCGCGGAGGCCGTCAGTGCGAAGAGGTGCAAGAAAAAAAAGAAAAAGCGAAAGCACGAGAGTGACGACGGAGAGCAGTTGATAGAGAGGGAATGCATTGAGTCTCATTTGGACACATCAAATCAGGAGGATTGGTGTCAGAGTGGCGTATGGAGCCTGACCTCTCATTCAGATGCAGAGTCGAAGCAGAAGGCTCAAGTTTCTGCTGCAAGTACAACGCAGCGCGAGTCACATCAGAACGAACAGGAACAGGGTTCTGTGAATAAGAAGAAGAAGAAGAAGAGAAAGAAGAAAAAGAGGATTGAACTGCAAGAGGCTTTGCAGGAAATGAATTCTACATGCTCTACATCAGAAAGGTGGGCAGTAGTTTTATTTTTCCACAATTTTGGACAATTTGAGTCTAGATGCTACATAAAAGGAAAAAAAGTTGTAGAAGTTAAGGATAAAATAAAGTCATATTGGTTGTATCTGCTCCACACCTTTGTAAATTTCTATAATTGTATGGTTTGTTTGTTTTTCCTAACAGAAATTCTGAGCCACAGCCCACAGAAACTTGTGATGACACACAGGACTCTATAAAGACGGAAAATAGGTTAACTGTGAAGAAAAAGAAGAAGAAGAAGCTAAAAGAAGAGCTGCGGCTGCTGAAGGAGAGCCAGCCCTCTGATGACAGCCCTGCAGAGGAGCCCCCTTTCAACAAAACCACCTCAGACCACGGCAAAGTTGGCAAACAGAGCACAGGTATGCGTCTGTGTAAACATGCAGCAAGCATTTATTAACAAGCAAAATGAGCAGGAGGGGAAGTAAGAGTGCAAACACTTCATGTGCAGTAAGAACGGATTATTAGTCAAAGCTAACAACTCGAGAGCTTCCTGCTGGTTCAGTCATCATCATTTTGTTTGGGACATAAAGTCAAATATGTTACTTTTATGTACTGATGAGTTATTTTCCAGTCTACTCCCTGCAGCAGCACATCCTCAAAAGTATAACCGTTTACATTTGGAAAAAGCCAACTTTATTTTACTTTTATTTTTTTTGTACAATGTTCAGCTCCAGCTGTAATGTGGGACAGTCAGGTAAAGGACGGCTACAAACGCTGCAAGGCCCGAGCGGCTAATGGGGCTGTGTCGGTGGAGGCTTCAAAAGCTGCTCCCTCTGCAGCCTGGGATGGAAAGAAGAGCAGCGACGTTGTTGGCGAGCTCCTCAAGAACTCCACAGATAAAGCCTACGGAGCCTCCGGTGAGACGCCCGTCTGTGAATCCACATGTCGGCATGACATTTAGATTTTATTTAAAATCGCTGAAGATTTTTCCTTCTTTACGTCTAGTCCTGAGCTGGGACGGAGAGGTCTCCGCTGTTAGTAAAGATGCCATCGAGGATGTGCGCAGTGCCATGCGCGACACTGTGATCGACGAGTGGGATGAAGACTTCGACAGAGGAAAGGTGAGGCGAAAACCACACTGAGGACTGTACTTTTCTTCTTCTATGGTCTGTTTTGAACTGCTTTCTTGTAAATGTTCAGGTGAAGAAGATGAAGAACTATAAAAGAGAGAAGTGGAGGACTAGCAGCAACTTTTTCCAGAAGGTTCAGGATCACTGGAACAAGTGGTCAGTTTTACCCGGAGGGAAGAGGGTCTTTGGAGTCCGACGCTGAAAGACTGGAAATTGGGACAATTACCGCAAACTTCTGTTTATTTTTTTATTATTTGTTTTCTTATGTCATTTTTCAAATTTAGGAGTGATAAACTGACCCTAAGATTAAATCTGGACAAATGAATTTGATTTCCCAAAATCAAATTTTAATCTAAACGTCTAAAAGTCTCCGAACATTCAGGTTTCACCAGAAAACCCTCACAGATCCATTTCACTATTTAGGGTATGTTAGCAGCCTTCAAGCCATTATCATATAGAAAACTATAACATCAAATGAAATGCATCATATTTGTAAACCTTTTAGATTTGTGACTTTACTGTAACACAATTTCAGAGCAAACTGTGCTGTTTTTAAAGGCATAAGGGCTCCCAGGTTAGGAAAGAAGTGACCTTTAAAACCCTTTTCATTGTTTTTCTGCACCAAACAAAAAAGATCAATAATTTGGTGTTTAAAAATATATTTTAGTTATTTATTTATATATATATACATATATAATTATCCCCACTGTGGTTGTTTTACTGCAGTTTGTGTAACGTGGCGTTTTGAGGACCAGGTTTTGCCATCATAGTGTTGGCAGAATAAAGGTTTGAATTGCCATCTTCTAAATATGCATGTCTAAGTAATTTGTAGAAATTTTTTTTCCTTTTTTCAGTCGTTTCGTTTCTCATCAAAATATTTTTTTTCTCAAATTTAATGATGCATCTTTAAATCACACTTTTTTATATATACAAATACAATTATCTTCATGAGTTATGTTTACGGAGCAGAGGTTCAGGTTTCTGATCAGTTTTCTACCTTGCAGATCCTGAACTGAGCGCCTGGTTTTGTTTTTGTTGTTCAGAAGGATCCAGTTTGAGGTCAGACCATGTTCATTTTAAGGGTTAGGTTTTATACTTCAGGCACTGTGTCAGAACGGGACCGCCGCCATCGTTTTGTTTTCCCACCATTCATTTTTTTTTTTTAATCTCTATGCAATTTTCCGACCATCGCACTGGTCACCTAAAAACTGGGCTGAGACTCAGGAACCCAGACGTCCGTGTTCCCTCCCCCATTTCATTACCAAGTACTCCTTTTCCTGGGCCAGGGTGCGCCACACTGTTCGTCCTCTAGAAGCAGTTTTATACAAAGAACTTGAGGTGAGGGAGCCATGGGATCATCGCCCACCTCTCTGGGCACAGACGCGTAGAGAAACTAACGTTCTAGCGAAATGCTTCGCCACTTTTGAAGACTGTACAGTTCGTCTCGTGCTACCTGTGTTCCCTTCAAACGCTGTAAAGATTTGCCCGTGCACTTCTTTCTCCATTCTAGAAATGTTGCCTTGAATTGGCTAAAAAAGTGTAGGATTTAACGTGATACATGCATAATTTCAAAGAAGAAAAGCCCGATCTTTCATGTGCTATTCCTCAGATTAGCTGGTGGATGTTGACTTGAAATAATCTGCAAATGTGTTTGTGTCAAAGAGAGTTCTTAGTTTTCATGCAAGCTCGTCCGTGTGTCACCGATGTGTTCTGTACAGACGACGTCTGAGCAGTCTCTCTTCAGATCGGCCGTGGAATCGATAAGTGTCACAGAGGAGCCTTTACCAGAGTGAACGGAGAGCGCACACGTTTTGCAACGATTCTGTGTTTTGCACCACTTTTTTCTGACCAGAATAAACTTTCATAATGAAAGTAGCTCTTCTCACGTTACAGTTAAATGAAAGGTGCAATAAAGTTTGACTTTTGTCAGTTGACTGTGTGTTTTGTTGAATATTTGCTGCAAAAATGAAGCAGCTTCGAAAGTTTTACCATTTGTTGATTGTGATGAAACCTTAAGAGTGAGGTTATTCAACTAGTGGTCCGCGGGGGTGACTTCAATCTGGCCCACTTCATTAAAAAAATTTAAAAAACGTATATTTTTTTAGTGGGGATGGGGTTTTCTGTTTATTGCATTTATTATTCAATGTAATAAAACAAATTTAAAAGGTAACGGATCATTGTAAACTCTGGTTTACATAATGATTTTAATCACTGGACGTCCGGCCCCCGAGCTGTTGGCTTTCTAAAACTGTGGTCCACCGAGCCATTTTGTTGAATAGCCCTGAGGGACCTTGCCTCCCCCCAAAAAGAAAAGATCAGAAGACACTGATTGAGACCAGTGCATGATTCAAGGACAGTCTGGTTCCTTCAACAGTTTATGGTGCAGCAGGTCGAAGCAGATGGCCACTTGTCCTGAGCCTGGTTCTGCTAAAGGTTTCTTCCTCATGAGGGGGTTTTTCCGTTCCACTGTCGCCGTCACGCTCGCTCAAAATGAGCGTTCTGCGATGGAGTTAAATTCATAGAAGTCTGCTCCTCAGGTAAATGGTATTATTTTTACATATGAATGTTTCAGTGCCCTGAGATGACTTCTGTTGTGACTTGGCGCTATATAAAAAAACTGAACTGAAAATGAATTGCAAAGTTGCAGCTAATAGAATTATAGATGAAAAATGATCAAATATGTTGCCTTTTGTGTCACAACTATCTTGAATTGTTTCAGTTGCTGACTCGAGTCTTCTGTGAAGTTGTTATTCTGTAATCCAGTAAATTCAGTTTATCATAATTAAACTTAATTCTGGGCAGACAGAATGAGAAATGTATCCTTTATTGCTGTGTCTTAATTTAATTATTCATCACTTCATGTCCTTTCATTCATTCATCCACAGTTTGAGCCCATGACTGCTTTTATTAAACGTAATACAATATTTTTTTTATTTATTGTTGTTCAGCTCATTCTTTAATAAAGGTTAGTCTTTATCTTTAAATGTGTTTTTGTTTTTCAGATGATTTCTCAGTTTTTCTAAAAAACACTTTTTTGGACATTTTCTGTTTCTATTTTTAGTCCATTTGACACCAGTTAGTGCTTGCTTTAGTTTTTACACAGCTAACTGGGAACAAGTATTTTCTGCAACTATTTTGTTGTAGAAGCACCTTTGTAATCCCAACATCCATCATCTTTACTCACTTCTTCCTTTTCGGGTGACTGGGGTCACAGCCCTATCCAGCGATCACTGTGCAAGAGGCGGGGGCTGGACAGGTCTCCAGTCCATCACAGGGACACATAAAAACAAAACACTCCACCCAAAAAGCCCCCCTGGATTCAATCCAGCAACCTTCCCAGCATATAAATGTAAAATACAGGATGATTCAAACTTTCTTCTTTGTAATTAAAACCATTTTTTGATCTACTTGCAAATACTTTGGTGCTTTTTCTGGAGTCAACTTGTGGTACTCATTGTAAAACTCTAAAATCAACCAAGAAAAAACTTGTCCTGAACTATATGAAACGGTGTAGATTGGACTTTTTAATGCAGTAGTCTTCTACATAAACCGATAGGTAATTTTGGAACGCTGGTCTGCAGTCCATGTAAACAAAACACTCGGCTGAATCCGACAGACGTAGAAGTCTGATTCTCGTGATGATTGACCTACATTATGTGTAGGTAAACAAATATGGCAGAATCTGAAAAGTGTAAAATCTCTGAAAATATATGTAGGTGGAAATATGAGGTAATTTGCTGCTGAATGTCAAAAAAGGAGTAAAACATCTGTCAGGGATAAATATCATAAATCAAGCAGGGTACCAGAAAGTAAAGTGTTATGTGTTGTCATCGTTGTCCATACAATGTCAAAATTAGTCTCTGCATTTAACCCAATGCACCATGGGATACACCCAGGTGGAGCAGTGGGCAGCTATGTAAGCGTCCGGGGAGCAGTTGGGGATTGGGTGTCTTGCTCAGACACTACGACATGTGGGAATGGCTGGGGATCGAACCTGGGACTTTCGGGTCCCGGGTCAGCGGCCCTAGGCCATTGTCTGGTCTTTATTACTAAATTATGTATATTTTTATTGATAAGCAAGTACAAAGGTATCAAAAGTTATAGTTTGTGGGGAGTGGTGGCGCAGAGGTTAGAGAGGTGGGCCTGTGATCCGAAAATCGCCGGTTCACGCCCCAGCCCCGACAACATCAAAATTGTGGGTGGGGTAGGTGAAGCACCCACACTTGCCCCCATCCTCATTCGCCCCACCCTGGGCACATGAGCAAGGCCCTTAACCCCCATCTGCTCCCTAAACAGGTCTCTCTTGAAAATGAGTTCTCATGGCTCAATGAGACTACCTGGATAAATAAAGGATAAATGAAAAAAAAAAAAAAAAAAAACTATTTTTTTTTTTTTTTTTTTTTTTTTTTGGTAGAGTAAAATTAGAGTTTGGTATTAATTCATCTGGATCCATAATGAACAGTTCAGCAAAATTAAAGGTGAGTTGAAGCGTGACGTCACATCTGGACGGGGGTGGGGGGGGGGGGGGTAGAGCACACACGCGCGCGCGCACACACTCACACACACCTCCGGCTCTTCTTAAGGCGTGTTTAAACAGCAAACCTCAGCAGCTACACTCACACCGAAGGCTAAACAGCAACAAGCTGCGTCCGTGAGGCGTTTGGGTGAGCTCGGATCTCTGAGTGACGCGACAAGGACCAGACGAAGAGGAGCAAGGAAGTGTCCGGATCGCCTCGGGCTCTCGGCGACAGAAACATCCCCAGTCAGGGACGCCTCCCCCCCGCATCCTCTCCAAGCAGCAGCATCAGGACCACCAGGATGGAGGCGGAAATTCACGGTTGGTCTTAAACTATTAGCTTCGTTGCAAATCCAGACTTTAAGCTGGACTGTGAACGCTGCTGTGCGCGTGCTGTGCTCATCACACATGCCAGACTGAGCTTCATGGAGCCGAACTGTGTGAAACTGTAGAAGAGGCTCAGTCAGGCGTGTTTTAGTTCACCTGCTCAGGAGATGTGTTGCCTTTAAAAACAGGTGTCCTCTGGTGCTGTGTGCTCAGGCAGGGAGTTATAAAAAGATCTGCACGCTGAATTATTGAACATCACTGCAGCTCTGACAGCATGATGGACTCTTTTAATAAATAAAGAAAAACTAACAAAACTTGCTTCTGTAAACCAAACTGATCCCAGATGGAGGAAAAGACTGAGCTCAGTTAAATGAGTCATTCTTTTACTGGAAGTTAAAAGTCCTGACATCATGTTCTGGGATGACCTCTTTTGATGATGTCATGTCAAGATGAAGGCTCAGCGAAGACTTCTTCTCAATTATTGAGCGATTGAGATTTTCTTTGAGCTTAATGCTTCTCAAAATAGAACCTGGCCTCATTGCAGGATTCTGTGTTGACAGGAGGGAGGATGGGATTAACTGTTTCACATAAATTACTTGATCGTGTTTTTCCCCTGTCTCTGTGTCAGTCTGTTAGCAAAATATCATATGAAACAGAGCATGGATTTTAATAAAACTTTCAAAATTTCATTGCTGGATATACATCTACAGCTGATTAAATTTTGGTGTGGATCCCATTTAGGATAGCCACAAAAGTAAAGCAAACTTAGTTTATACAAAAACAGCTATAACTCAGCTAATTTTATATATTTTGATCTAACGTTTGGTCTGGTAGTAGCTGAGAGTCATCCATAACTCAGCTTTAGAGTGCTAACACATTTAACGAGATCTGATTTTAAAACTTCGCAATTAACGATCGGTGTCAACTGTAACTGTCTGTTAGCAAAGTATCTCATGAACAGGTGGAGGGATTTTTATGAAACTTTCAAAAAACAATTACTTCATATACAACTACAATAGTTTAACTTTTGACGGCAACTTAGTTTAAGACACCTTTTACAGCTAACTGACATTCGGAAACACAAGCATGGCTTCAGATCAGCCATTTCTACAGATATCGAGTTAAACTTTGGTGTAGTAGTAGCTGAGACTGATCCACGACACATACTCAGAGCACTGTTGTTGGACAATGTTTAAAGTCACTCTAATTCAAGCTGGCCACCACAGCTAAACGTTAGCCAACACAAAAATGGCTCCAGCTCAGGTAATTTTACAGATATTGGTCTAAAACCTGATATGGTCGTAGGTGAGAGTCATCCTCAATAAATACTTTGAGAGCTAATGCATCAAAGGAGATCTTCCATTAATGCACAGGGTTGCACAAAACATCATTTATAAGATTAGACCAATAAAGTTATGACTTTGACGTTTGTCATTATAAAATAATTTCTGCCTGTGGCACGAGAAACAATGCACATCTCTTCAAGGAATGTCAGACCATTTACATTCAAATGCTTGATTTTCTGCTATAAAGAGCATTTCATTCATGAGGTTTGGACTTCTAGTTTTAACAGCACATCAGGATGAGGCGTTCCCTTCAGCAGGTGTTTTATGTTGTCGTGTCGTTTCTGTTGGCAACTCAGTCGAGCAGCTGTGATATGTGCAGTCATGTCTAAGTTTGTTGGACGTATTTTCATTCTGTCATTTTTCTCTGATGCTGTCCCCAAATCTGCTTCCTGGAACCCTCTCGGGCGTGGCTCTGTTTCCAAACTTCAAAGGCGTTTTGTCTGCAGGGTGTCGACGCGTCTTCGTTATATTTGCCGTGCACTTTGCCCTCTACCTGTACCTGTCAGTGCAGCCCGGGTTTTTCCTCTTTGCATAAAAGAACGTGCGCACACAAAGGAAATGGTGCACGTGCTCACAGGCGTGGTGCTCTACATTTGCGGCGTGGTTGCCGTGGTTTCGGGTGTCGTTTCTCTTCCCCAGTTTGATTGGTTTTCATTGGTAACGTGTCAGACCGGAGAGAATAAGTGACTTTATCTAAACAAGTTGAAGCAACAGGAACTTATGCAGACACTTTTCAGTTTTTAAAAACCTTGACAGTGACGTTACGCACAACCTCGTGACAAGTCGTCACACTCAGAGTATGTTTTGGGAAGGACTCTCAGCAACTACCACATGAAGCTTTAGCTCGTTACCTGTAAAAGTATTAGCCATTGCTGTGTTGCCTAATGTTCATCAGTGCTGCTGAATATCTTCAATTGAATTGGCTCTTCAGTTGCAGATGCTCATTCAAGTTGTTTTTAAGAATTTTAAGAAAAGAAAAAAATAAATAAAAGTATGATTTTTTAAAAAAAACTTTCCCCGCTCATTTTTAAACACACAAAAACTTGAACACTATTTTGGAGAACGGCTAAAAGTTTAGTTTAAATCATTGTAAATCCAAAACATTAGGACTCTCATAAACATGAACCTTTTTTTAAATGAATGAATTAATTAATTTTATTTATTTAAAGAATCTAATTTTATTAGAAAATTTTGGGGGTCTGTTATTTGTTTTCTTGTGCTTGGAAAGTTCATTTTTGTTTATTTTCAGAGGCAAAAGCCTAAAATGAGTAAATGTTCTTTTAAAAAGGGGGCGGAGCTTCAATCAACCATTTGGACCATGGATGTCCCAAAAGGGTCATGGAAGTTCTGGAAAACCGTCCAGCTGGCAGCTGCTAAAACAGATTCATGGAAGGTTTGAAGGGACACCGATAAAGTTCATCAACTTTTATGTCAATGATACTTTATATTCTTTTTAAAATGTCCAATTTCTCCCTATCAATTATGAATCAACTGAAATTATTTTATTTGAAAACACTTTTATTTAACGAAGTTTTATGAATTATTATCCAAAATTCTACTTTTTGGTAAAGGTCAGTGAAGGTTTGTTGTATAAAGGGATTAATTATAGCTAATATTTGTATTGTACTTAATATTGCTCATTTTGAGAAGATTTTTTATTATTTATTATAAAATAATAAAAAATAAAAAAAAATCACCATTAAATCTAACAAAGCTCTACATCTGCATCAACCTCTTAAGCCTATGGGGTAAAATTGTACCATTCTTTAATTGCAGTTGCGGGCCGCACAAAATCACTCCAAGGGCCGCAAATGGCCCTCGGGCCACACTTTGGACTCCCCTGTCTTAAAGCTTTGATCTCTGTGTTGGAAGCATTCAGTTCATATTATGAGCAGAAGAGCTGCTTCAGCCTCCACTCAGCCAGCTGTTAGTCACCAGAGGTGCCGTTCGGCTGCATGCTGTGTGGGAGTTCCTGCAGCTCCCTGCAGCTTTTACATTCAGCTCGGAGAAGTTCTACACCTACGTGACTGTTAGACAAACGCACGACCGCTTCTCAGCAGAATCTCTGGCAGACAGACAGCTAACATTTCTCCACGACGTCCTTCTTCAACATTCAATCCACGTCTGCTTCATTAGTGATGCTGTGCAAAGGATGAAGGTGTTGTTGCATGTTTCGTCCTCATGGTGGAGAAAACAGCTAAAAATACTGCTCTTTGCTCTTAGCCCAGTGCACGTGGAGGCCTTCAGCCTGAAATAAATCTCTCCCAGCTAAAAGAGGATGTTTGTCTCACGGTGCAGCTGCACATTATTCACTGCAACAAGCTCCATCTGAAATATGAAGCGTATTGATTTCTAGATCTCATGAGGATTTCCTTCCAACACAAAAACAAAGGCAGCCAGAACCAGGCCTTTTAGTTTGCCTTTATAGGTTCAGAAAGTTTTGCAGCCATTATAAAATGAAAATGGGGAAACAATGGGTTCACTTTTATACACTGAACATTTGTCTTTTTCACTAAAACAATAATTAGACGAAAGCTGCAGTTTCAAAGATTTGCATTTTCCTCTGGTTCTCCTGTGCTGGTTGGCTCGCCTCCATCCTTTCATTCATCTAACACTAAAGTTTAAACCAACCTATTCTTGCACTTGCTTTTTGCAGACGTTATACAAAATATAAAGGTGCATCCTGAAAAAAAGAATCAGAACGTGCTTTCGTGCTGACTCCAGTCCTCCTGTGACAGTCGTGCTCCTCTGGGCGATGTGCAGCTGCAGCGTTTAAAGGCTCCATGACAGACGCTGCAGTTCATGCAGGGGTCAGCGGCAAATGTTTCTCCCTCTGGAAATGACCTGCTGGTTAGGGTTGTGGTTTTAGATTTGTATCGCCCTCGTTCATTGCCAACCTGAAGCGGGTCTGTGCTCTCCTGCTCCTCGTCAGAAGTGATGACTGAGTGACGCTGACGCAGAGGGAGGTGGCTGTTAAGGATTGTGAGGCGTCTCGTGTGACTGACAGGTGGACTAATTCAGAGAGGCAGGCCAAGTCACGCCGCTGCAAGGGTGTAGGTAAACATTTCAGCTTTGCTGCACACGTGAAAGAAAAAAAAAGTAATACAATTAAAGACGTACTGACCTTCATGACAAGTTTTAAACTCATTTTGGTCACACCATAAAAAATAGCTCGTGCAAAATATGCTCAGACTTGTTGATGTCAGTTTTGTAAACTCTCAGCTACTACCACGGAGAAATGTAGCTTTATTTTTGTGACGCAGTTATAGACAGTTTTGTGTTGGCTAGTGTTGACTATCTGTGTCGGCCATCTTGAATTAGATGGACTCTAAAAGTTTATCAGTGTGTACATCAAAGCATTACTTTCAGAAAGTTTCATTAAAATCTGTCCAGCGGTTCATGCAAAATGTTGCGAACAGACAGAGTTGACATCAGCCATTAATAACAAAAGGTTTAAGCAAGAATTATGTGCAAAGTTTAGTGTTTAAAATATATGTTGGGGATAACTCTGATTTATTAATGCGCCACATTTGAGCTCATCTTGACTAAATTATAGTCACTTTTTTTTTATTTTTTCAGTGGCTGTGACAGACATTTTATTTAGGATTGGCTCCAAAAGTAAAACATTTGTAGAGATACATCCAGTAT